ACTTTCTCCTCCACTTTGCCTCGGTTCCACGGCGGTGCTCCGCACCGCGGCCCACGGAGAGGTCTCAAGCACGGATCGCAAGGAAACGTCGCCTGGATTTCGGACGCTGGTCTGCCTGTCATCCTCCTTTTTTTCCTCATACTACTTGTATGTTCCAAGCAGATTCGAGCAAAATTCCAAGCAAGACGCTGTGCACTGAAGAAAACCTCAAGAAAAAAAAGTCACGACCCACGACCCCGGCCAGGCTGAGCGATGTATTCGGGATCTCGGCCCCAAGAGGCTGGCCCATCGAGTAGCCCAAACGAGTAGTGAGTAGTGAGTAGTTCGGTCCGAATGACTTGGGCTCCTTTGACCAAGTCTATCTGTACACACAAAGGGATATATATAAAATATATATACAATATATATAATATATAATATATATGGATGTACCTGGACCATCCAAGGGGTCTCCAACAGACCACCAGACAATACGACCGACAGGGCTTCGGACTTGGACACCCCGACAGTGTCTGCTCCTGGTATACCCCGACCGTGTTCTTTTAAATGGCTTCTGGTGGTCAGCCTAGTCCTGGATAGAGAAAAATCACACCGCGAAACGAACCTCAAGTCCCCCACAACCGCAAACCGGCCGCAAGCCCAAACAAAGACAAACACCCCGAAACGGCTGGAGTTGGCTCATAAGGCAAAACCATCCAAACTGGATGGGAACCACCTTATTTGGTGTCCCATGCCCCATTCAGAAGTGAATGATGGACGACTGGTTTGCACCGAACCTGTTCCAACCTGTTCACACTCTTCACCTCCCTGGCCTACTCCCTGGCCGGGATCTGTGTCCCGTCACTTCGGTAACCCTTCGGTTGCGGAAGCCTTTTCGGGTGTTCTGAGCTCCACGCTCTTCACCTCGGATTGCATTTTCACCATGCTCAGGTCTCGCTGCAGTAGCACCGTGACCTGCACACGGCCCAGACGTGGCCCTCGCGACGCGCGCGCCGCTTTTGCGCCCCTGTGCGCGCGTCGTTGTCGTGCACGGTGTGACCAACAGAAAGCGTCCCGCGTGAAGAAGAAAGACGTGTAAAACATGGAACATCAAACCGGTGATTTGGATCCCTGCATCGCAGTCTGCATGAACCCGGGGCTGCCTTCTCGATCTTTCTTTTCAAGTCTTGCTCCTCCAAGACGCCCTGGCTGCTTTTCAGTAGCAAACTAGGGAATGAGGCGTTTGCTCTTCCATGGCACCGCGGCCAAAAGTAGTTGTAGCCTGAGAGGAAGATTTGCAGGTTGTTTAAAACTAGATTAACTAGATATTGTAAGCATTGTCACGACCATCAAAATTTGACCATGACAATACACATTTTGTCAACCATGATGTGAACTGGAAGGCTAGGCCGGCTAGGCAAAGGAAAGAAGATGAGAGAAAGAACTGCTATGTTTCTTCCGTTTGATGGGTGGTACTTAGCACTTTGCCAGCTTGCTGGTCGCCGTCTGGCACCACCAGGTGACGTGGACGCGGCTTGTGACGCCTGCAGTTCACTTCGGTCTGCAGTGGACAAGCCAGCCTCGGATGCGTCGCTTCACCGTTCCGATGGGTGACCCATTGGCCAACGTGTGGTGTCACATCTACTTGAACATACGTGATGCCAGCAGACTTGCGTAAACAAATGCCACGATAGCTGATCCCACCCATGGCAACTGCTGTGTGTGAAGAGATGGCTTGGTTCTTTCCGAAATCATGGATTCCTCTGGCTTTTGGGACGGGATGTCTAATCGTTCAGATGCCTTTTTGACCTTTGGCCTTCAGCTTAAGCTATCGTCGCCCAGTACCGCACCATCAACGAAGCTGAAGAGCGCAACACTCGAGCAACAACCAAGAAGCTGGATCTCATGACCCTCCCAGCAACAGCTACACAACCGCAAGCGCAGCTTACGGGCCATCCATGAACAACAACAACAACAAACAAACAACAAACAACAACAAACAACAACAAACAACAACAAACAACAACA